ATCATTTGCAACTTTTCTTTTGATTTTAATATTATGCCTCCTATAATTAATGTTAGATTACTTTCTTTGAAAAGACAAGAGGAATTACATAAAGAAATTGCGTCCTATGTTGATTTGCCCTTTCATGATATTACTTATTCAAAACCAAGTAAGTCAAAATCAAATTAAACTATAAATATTATAGACAGGTTAAATATTTTACAATTTCTGAAATAAAATAAGCCTACTTTTTGCTTATTCTTTTGTTAATGATGTTGCTATTACATTTTTATTATCATTTTTATACTTATAAACATCGAAATCTCAAAAAAAGGTTTAAAACAAAATAATTTTTTTATTTTTTTACAAAATATTACACAAACTTCATTAAGCCTATGTATTATAAAGTTTCATAATTTGAATAAAAATAAATATATTTTAAGAATGCTAATGTTCTCAATTAGTTACTTGCAAAAATTTTTTATAGGTTATAAAGACTGTATTTGAAATAAGTGAATTTTTTTGTAATAATCGTCTAAAATTGTTACATGATTTTAATTGCAATTTTCTCAAAATCACGTAATTAACCTGAAGCCACTTTTTGCTATGAGAGTTTCCATTTATTAAGTAATAGCTTTTCATAACTATATTAATTCTTGAATTTTTATTTTTTTGAATATTTATTTATGTAATTTATTAAATACTGTATTAATATAAATGTATATCACAAAATTACTATACTTTATAAAAAAAGTATTAAATAAAGTATTTAAAAATTATTACTTTATTTTATTATAATTAATTTTTTTAAATAAATTTTTAAAAATTTTTTTTTTTGAATTTTATTGTATTTTTTATAAACAATTACTAGTTTTATGCAAATTTTATTCTTTTTCAAATATGTATTTAATTATAATAATAATAAAAAATTAAAACTTTTAATAGTAAAGTTCACTTTAAATTTCATAAATTAATTAATTTCTTATAATTAATTATTTTTCATATTAATTATCAGGTTGTATTTAATTTTATTTGTAAATAATTATTAGCTTGTAATTAATTATGTAATTAATTATATATTATATATTAAAAATTATATATTAAGTTTTTGATAAAACATTTATCATGACATGTATAACTATATACTAATAATAATCTCTTTTATTTTTATATATAATTAAAATTTTTATTATTACATTTATATTAGATATAAAGTAATAATAAATGATAAATTAATAAATATTTCTTTTTAAGTTCTTTTAATATTAATGATATTTCTAATATTTTTTATATTTGAGGCTAATGCTTTATAAGATATACAGTATGTATATTATTAATTTTATTATTTAAATCAAATGTAGTAACTATTCAGTTAATAGGAAAGTAATATATTTTTTAATTAATTTAAGATAGTTAAAATTATAAAAATAATAAATTTTATAATATTTTTGATAAATTGACAAATTGAAGTAGTAATAAACAGATAGTTAAATTGATAAAAATAATAATTTATATGTTAAAGATTGATTTAAAAAGTAAAGGAATCATAATAGCTCTTTATTAGTTTGTTAACTTTATTATTAAAAATGTTGCCTAAATAAGCTTTTACTTTATAAAGCATTATATCTAATTATTATAAAATAATATTGTTAAAAAAGTAGGATCATAAATAAAAATTATTTAATTTTTAACAAAAGATATATTACAGGTGAAATCCTTAAAAGCAGTCTTAAATTATTTTATTATTGAATTATTACTTAAGAATTTATATAAATAATTATATAATAATTAGGTAAAATAATTAAATATATTATAAATATTATAATCAATTCAGCTATTGAAGAAGAATAGAAAGTGACAAATATAATTAAATAAAAAATTATTAGAGAATCCAAATATATTTGTAATCAAGCTAATCCTATTTTATAGAAAAAAAATCAATAAGATTAAAATCAGATAAGAATTTATTAATAAAGTATTTTAAATTAGAGGCCAAGAAAAATTTTATAAAAATAAATATAATAAATGTGATATAGTAACAAATTTATTTATAATATTGAAAAATATAAGATAATAAAATTTTAAAAAAGAAATCAAAACTAAAGAATAATTTATAACTATATATAAAGTTAATGTGATTTCTTGAAATAGTAGTATTGTTTACAAATAGAACAAACTCTTATTTGTGATATAAACTGCAATTTTAATATAAAAATTAATTAGAATAAAAGTGATATATTTTGTATAGCTTTTTTTAGATTTAATAATCAATATACTATATTATCATTAAAAATGTATCCTTTGAAATCTTTTAAAATTATATTATTATAGTTCTATTTAAAGGAAGTAAATATATTATGAAGGTAAAAAATTATCTATTTTAATAACTCAGCTAATATTAAACTATTTATATTTAAATACTAACTAGTCTTGGCAAATGATCTAAAATAACTTTAAAATGATATTATTTTTATTATAAATTTTAAGTCAAAATAATCAAAGGTCATTTAAAAAAAAATAATAAATAAATTAATTTATTATTAAGATAATGACATTTATTACATAATATCTATTTACTATAAACTCATATCCCTTATCTCCTATCTTATAATAATTTTACATTACACTATATATACTAATACCTTTAATTATCCTTTACCCCTAAAATATTATGTAATAAATGTCACTGTTCTTGTTAATCTTAACAGGTAACTTATATTAAACAGTAGTTAATTTTAATAGAAGATGAAATAACATATCTATATCTGTATTTATAAGTTAACTTTTGATTATCAATATTTAATACATACTGCAAAATAGCGAACCAGTTTGATACTCTATTGACTTAAGCAAAAGAAGAGAAAATTTTAAGATAATAGTAAGTGAATATATAATTACCATTATAGTTCACTAAATAAGAGAGAACTGTTGGCTAAAGGTGAAGTAAATCTTATATACCCATTAAAAATGGTTAAATTTGAATTTAAAGTTGCATTTTAAAACTTTATACTTATTTTTACATGATCATAAATATCATATAATATGCTATAAATATGATATGTCATAATAATTTATCTCTATAAAGGTATATATTAAAAAAAAATATATTTTTAATAATATATATCAGATATTATCTCACTACAGTATATAACAAATTCAGTTTTATTAGCTCTGTTCAAAATTGCTTATATATTGTATAAAATTTATTAAGTTCAATACGCGATCTAAAATAAAGAAATTTTATTGGATAAATTTTGTACAACACAAATTGACCGAAAAATAGAAATACTACACATATTATATTTCTTCCAATGGGGATCGTGTGATTTTTGATGTCTTGTGAGCGTTGTTCGTCTTGTAAATGCTTGAATGTAAGCAAACATAAGGTATTTTGGCCAATGATGAAAACTTAATTGATTGGATGAAAGTTTAATAAAAGTCGAATAATTTTTTGGATGATTTTTAATTTGATCACGTTTTTGGATTAGTTAATGGATTTTTATCAGAAATTGTTTAATTCATTTCTAGAGATAAAATTGTGTGATTGGTTATAAAAATTGGAATTTTTGGAATTGTCGAATCCAAATTTGACAGCTGTCAGAGAAAAAAATAAATTGTTAATTCCTTGGTTTTCTTTTTTTTTTTTTGTCTTAAGATCTCGTAACTTTACAGTATTGAAGATGTACTTAACTCGATTAAAGATTACGTTCTCTATCTTGTTATATACCATTATTTTATGTAATTTAATTAAACCGGCTACATCTCTATATTTTTATTTGGAGGGTACAGAACAAAAATGTTTCCTTGAAGAATTGCCAAAAGATACTCTTGTTGTTGGTAAATAATTGAGAATAATATACATTTTCTTTAACAAAATTATTTTTTTAAACAAAAAAAAAACAAAAATGTAACTCCTTTATTTGATATATAAAGGTACATATAAAGCTGAGGAATGGTCAGAAACACAGCAGCAATATATTGAAAACCCTCAACTAGGAATACAAATAACCGTTGAGGTAAATCCACGAATGTTTTTAACGCCTTCAAAAGAAAAATTTTGTTGTTTTGCTTTTAGTTAAAAAATTTCTGTTATTTTCAATAGGAATTGCCTGTAATGCATCGAATTGTTAATCAAAAAGGTGCAAGTCGTGGGAGGTTCACTTTCACGGCCGCAGAATCCGGAGAGCATGCAATTTGTTTGACTACAAATTCTTCAGCTTGGTTTTCGAATAGTCAAATAGTTAGTATAACTTATATTTGAATTGATTAAACTATTAATTTCATGTGTAAGATTTTGAACTAACTTTAACAATTTTTAAAATCAAGAAATTACATTTAGATATGGCCATTGGAGATGCGACTACCGAAGAAGAAAACGATAGGGAACATTTCAGTGGTAGGTTTTTTTTTTTTTTGAAATTTTTTAGTTATATATATAATCGAAATTTAACCAAACTTTTTTTTAATCATTTTTAGAACTTGCACAAAGAGTACGCGATTTGAATCATCGTATTTCAGATATTCGTAGAGAACAAAGTTTTCAACGCGTAAGTTTCCAATTATTTATAAATTCACAAGATTTTTTTGACCCGGGTTAAATACATTTCGTTAATGATTCATTAGGAACGCGAAGCTGAATTCCGTGATCAGTCGGAACTTACCAATTCACGCGTAGTTTACTGGACTATTGTACAATTGATTGTCCTTGGCGTTACGTGCTTATGGCAATTACGACATTTGAAAGGCTTTTTCGAAGCTAAAAAATTAGTATAGTTAATTCAGCTGCGATACGTTTCAAATTTATAGATTTGAAAAAAAAAAAAAAAAAAAAAAAAGAAAAAAAACAAAAAAAATAATAATAATTTCAAAAGCATTATGCTTCGGGAGAAGAGAAGAAATTTATCCATAATAAAAAAAAAAAGAGCATAAAGAATATTTAATAAATATCATTTTATATATTTATACGTATATTATTAATTATTCTTTTATCTTAATTATTTTTTTTTTTTTTATTAAATAAATTATTGCAATGATTCTAAATTAAATTCCACAGCTGAACAAGGATAAACTAGTTCAAAATGCTCTAATACATTAGGATGAAGTATACCAAAGTTACCAATTTTACTTGTTACTGTTGATGAATTAGATGATTTGGAAGGTTTACGAAGGAAAATATCCGCACATCTATTAGGAAAATATGTTGGATCTACTTGTCAAATAAAGAAAGGAAAATATTTAATAAAATAATATCAAGATTATAAAAGCAATATACATGTGAAATGCACCTTCTGATTCTTTAATATAATATCCAACATCTTCCCCGCTAGCGGGAACAAGTTTAACATGAAGCATGTCCATAAGACGGTTAACAAGTCCATGAATGAACTAGTGTAAATTCATAAACGGGTTAATATCTCTATCAGATTACCACGAATTAAACTCAACATAATTTTGTTACCTCAAACCCTGAAACTTTTGCGCAATAAATAGCACAAACGTGCCTTTCGTTCCTTGCTTTTCTCTCCAATGAATCATCCTTAAAGGCTACATCAGACACTTCAAAAACTTTAATAGGCAATGCATGTTTTTTATTTTCCCTCACAGTTTTTAAAATTCCTGGCAAAAGTGAAGTACGAACAACTTGATATTCCAAGGTTTTGGGATTGGATAATTTTACTGCTGTAGCATTATCATCTTTTCTATTCAAATACGCAAAGTTCTCATCATGTGAACACTTATTAAAAAAAAAAAAAAAGATTATGATGTATTAAACAAAAAAGTTACTTTTTTCCGAATTTTTTTTTTTTTTTTCTTACGACTTACCAAAATCAGGGGCAAAACTTCGGTCCAACCTGCCAAAGCAAT